TGTCAGGTGTCACTTCCAAAGGGAAGGATAAGTTGCGGCCCTTCCTACAACGAAGATGGCGGGACAGGAGGCAGCGTATCTGCTGCTGAGCATGTTCCTCCGGCCGCGTATGGAGTGACCTTATAGCTGCTCGTTGGAGTTGGGCCCAGCGAAGGAGAAGGGCCTGTAACTGGCCCAGGCTGATGTGCCGGCTGCTCTGTGACTTGGGCCATACATTGCAGCAGACCCGACACTTCTGGAAGTTTCGCTGGCTGAGAGAGATTCTGTTTGGGGCCTTTGGCGGACCTGGAGGTGAATCACAGTGCAGAGCTTTAGGGGTTTGTGGCAAGGTCTTGCTATCAGCCACAAATAACTGCTGTCCTTTTCAGTAATAGCTCTTCGCTTTTTTTTTTTTCCTGAGTCCAATCTTGATTTGGATACTAGACTCACCGGGCAGATGACCCCGTAAGTTACATAAAAGTCTAACCACGCTGCCGACACCCGAGAATGATATAATATTGAATGTCACCTGTAATTGACAAATTTTTTGAAAATTAAGAGAAGAACAATACGGCCACTTAAATGGAGAAACCATGGGCCATCGATCAACCTCCAAAATCACCTCCAGCCAGGAAACGAGGGTCCCCGGGTCCCCTTCCTCTGTCACGTTAGTGTCATGACCGAGAGGGCAGGTGGAGAGCTGACCACAGGGCTGCAAGTCCCTCCAACACGCTACTTCCTCCCTCCTGAGCCACGGGGCAGAAGCAGGAACTGGACCTAGAGCCTGGCGAACCTCATGCTCACGGTTTACTGGGTTGTAGACAGCTGGGCAGGAGGAGGTAACTCCAGAGGCCAGTGCTCGCCGGGATCCTGGCTCTCCAGGGATCGGGGGCAGGCAGGGCTTCCCGGCTCTGGAGGAGCACCATCTCAGCATCACAGGGGGCTTCCATCTCTGAAGTGCAAAGCAGTCCCAGCTAGGAGGGGTCAATATTCAGGGGACAGGGCTGCCACCGACCCTCCAAATAGGCTGTGACTTGTGCTAAAGTGCTTCTTTGGATTCAGAGACGAGACGCTCACACGTGGCCCACCGAGTTACCGCATATCCTGCGCTGTGCATTATGACCTGGGTGCTACCTGACCCATGGGGTCAAACAGTCAGTCTGCACAGCAACACGACATCACCAAATGAGAGTGGCACGCCCATGCTGCGAACGGGGAAGGCCCGGAGGTCAAAGGAGTTACCCTACATCAGGGCCCAAATGCCCTGGTTCCCGTTGTGCTCCAGGGGGTCTCTCAGCCCGTAGCCCATGGCACATGGGGAGCTCCCTGGGGTCCGCTGGCAGAGGAGGGGACAATGTGCTCTCGGCCGACAGGCAGTTTAGCATGTGGTAGAAGCACCCCCAGAAAATGGACAGCTGTTGCACCACAGACCACCATGCGACACCCCTGAAGCACCATGGGGTAAGGGAACCCTCCCGGGAGGCAGCTCACCTCATCATCCACCTTGCTGGAGGGAAAAATGGAGGATGGTTGACAAGCCAAATGGATTAGAAAGTACAAATTAGTAGTCACAATATTGCCACGGGAATATGAAATACAGTTTCAATATAATCAATAATGTTGTAAAGAATCTGTAGAGTGTCACATGGGCACTTGTCTTATGAGGGAGACCACTTTATGGACACTGTAGATGCTTGATCACTCCAGCGTACACCTGAAGCTGAGTCTGAATAATATTGAATGTCAACTACAATTTAACATATATTTAGTCACGGATGTGGAGGACAGCATAGGCATTAGAGTCAGTGGAACTGTGACAGCTCTATGCGATGTCACAGGGGTAGTAGATTGGGGAGGGGGGTTATCACTTTGTGAGGCCCCTGCTCCAGTTAGCACTGCATCACAATCAACAGCAGCCACTTGTTTCATTGTGACACCACCACCTATCACAGGTGGCTGGTGGCCCAATTCACATGAACAAGGAGCCCAGGAACAGTGCTGAAGCACAGAGCAATCAGCAAGATAAGCACCCGCCCCCTCCCGCCCCCCAGTCTCATCTTTGTGGGCTGATCCCTCGGAACCACTCCAAGTATTCATTCTTGGTCCATGCAGGTCCGATGAGGGGGTAGACGGATGTCAGAGTTTGAACAGGTAATGTGCATTAGGAATGTTTAACTCCACCTGTGTTGCCATCCACACCTTGCTCCTAGGTGCGTAGCAGTGGGTCACTGTGTGTGCTGCCCCGGGGACCTTGGCAGGGAGAGGTGTCCACAGAGGTATCTGAGTTGTGGCACTCCGCTAAGAAAACGAGAGGTGCTACGGGGGACTTCTGACTTCTAGGTGCTGGTGACCGCCCACCACAGGGCGTGAACGCTCCAGCAGCCATCTTCGGAGCGGGCGCTGGGCCCTAGAGAAGCCACGCGCACTGCGGGGACCTGATCCTGGGGAAAGGTGTGCATGTTACAGGAGACTGTGAGAGACCATAATGCAAACCCAAAGGGGCCAGTCTTCCTCACGCAGAAGCTAACCACCTCCAGCTACTGACAACGACTGCTATCGGGCCAGCTGGCAAAGGCAACATTTGTGAAAGGGCCCCGCTTGATTTTCACACAGGAGGCAGTGAAGGACGAATTCGAATCTGACAGGCAACTAGTATGAAGTGGCGCACGCTTCTTGTAATTAGACTAAGGGCTTACTACAGAGATATGCTCCTTATGTGCCAGTGAGGTCAGCGGAAACGGCCTAGGTGATTGTGGACTGCTTAAAACAAAACCTGTCCTCAATGACTAAGTGGACAGAGCCTGCGCTCTGAACAAGGCTGCGGGGTTTGACTCCCACGTGGCTTGGAGGTTACGCACACCCGCAACTAACAATGAACTCAGCACCTTGAGCCGAGCTGCCGCCCGGATGGCTCCGTTGGTAGAGCGCGCGCTCCTAACAACAAGGCTGCTGGTTTGAATCCCGAGTAGGATGGTGGCTACGCCCACCCACAAGTAAGATTGAACACAGCACCTTGAGCTGAGAGGCCACGAGCTGCCGACGGGAATTCAGACGGCGACTGGCGCCGTCCACAACGAAGACTGAAGAACAGCAACTGCGCAGGATCCCTTCCCCAATTCCCCAACACGGTTCCCCTCCCCCAGTTCCCCAACTTACAAATAATGCCTGCCTACAATAGCATAGTTTTATTCAGAAACTTTTCTCGTCCCCTGTTTCTGCAGGTGCTGATGCTAGAAGACTCACACATGTAAATTTTGCCCTCCTGGTATTAGAGGCCCCACTGTGTAACTAGCACTGACTGAAGAAATGTGGACAACACTTTGCGAGACAATGGTGTTGCGTTCCCCTCTGACCCTCACCTAACATTACAGGGAAGTCCGATGTGGTAGCACCGCAAATGTCACAGGTTCAAACAAGTAAACATGGTCCCTACGTTTTTCTGGCTCTGTGGCCTGGGCCCGTTAGCTGTGCCCTCCGCTCAGCGTCTCACAGGACAGCAATGGAAGTGTCAGTGGCCTGGGTTCATTTCCAAGCTTGCCCTTGTTGGCACAGTTCATTCCCTCGGGGCTCTAGAATTCATGGCAGGCTTGCCTCTTCAAAGGCAGCCATTAAGAGAAAGAGCCTCTGACATCAGAGAAGG